TCTTCTATTTCTATATTTAAATTTTTTTTTCTTCCTTTCTGCAGTTCAGTTCATTTTGTAACTATTTGGGTTTTCTTTTCATTGCAAATGAAAACAGGAAGCTTGAAAACTTTTTTTTATGGCCTGGCAGTTTTTTTTAATTTTTAAGATTTTGAGAAATATGCAAAATATTAGTCATTTGAATAACACAGAAATAGATGTAAAGTCTTAAATAAAAATAAAGTATTAAATAATGAAGGAAGAAACATAGTTAGAGTAAATGTGTGCCTATACACAGTAATTTTACTTGGTGTCAGTTCATATTTTTACTTTTTCCTTTCTTCTTGAATTTAGTCTACTCTCTCTTCTTTCTTCCATAATCTCCCCAAAGGGGTTTATGCTAAGATTCTTTCTTAATTTATTATATTCTTAGTGACTTCATTGGAGTCCAGCGATTGCCACTTCCTTGATTATAGTGATGACTCCTAATACTCCATCTTAAGCTTTGATCCCCTGCCCAACCGATTATATTTCTACCTTCCTATTGGTCATCTCTACCCAGCTTTCTAAATGTTGACTTCTTGCAACACCACTATTCCCTAGCCAAATTGACTTTCTTTTCTCAGTTGACAACACCACAGATCAGTCAATCATACATACTGTTAACCTCAGAATTCCTTTGACACGTAACTCACCTTTACCACATATCTTACTTTATCACAAGGTTGTGTATCACTCTATCTTTGATATTTCTCACATTTCTTTCTTGTCCTTTTTAATTTCAGTGTTACATAGTATTCAGTATTAATACACCATATTAACAAATGTTTTAGAATGCAAAATATTTGTAACATAAAGTTATTTTTTCATTTATTATAGTGGAAAATAGAAAGTTTTATGAATGATTTCTTTGTCTCAAAATAGCATTTAAAAATTTAAAATATTTGGTAATAATTTTAATAAAAATATGGAGTTAAAAAAACAGAGTCAATGAAAATGTTAGATATATCAGCAGGAGTTTGTGGGCAATGTGGTTTAAAGCTATAAGTAAATGAAGTGTTTCATTTCCTCTATAATGTGATAATTTTTAAAAAATATGCCCAATTTGACAGTTCCCCTCCACTTTTGTTTCTCTTTACTCTTCTTAAAAGACAGAAATAAGAATGGTAGGGGATTTTGTGGTTAACTTGATACAATTGATTTTAGCTATTTTAATCAAAACTTCTAAATACCACAAATATCTATGATAATAAATGAAATTTTAAACTTAATTATAATCAGAAACTTTATTAAAATAACAGTTTAAAGTGAATCTGAGACATTTCTAAAACTTGTCCAAAAGTTTCAGATAGGTAGTTATGACTTTAAAGCTTCATATTTTTCTGTCAAATTTCATAGTCCCTTCCTATGTTAACCATTTTAATAACCTTAATAAATAGTATTTAAATACTAGATACTGGAAATTTTGCCTCCCCACATCAGAACAAAGACTGAATACATATATTTTTAAAGTTTGCTTGTTACTTAACTTCTACAAAAGTGTTGCAAGGGTAATGTTTTGACATAGTACCCTGAAATGTTTCTCCATATCAAATTCCACTCTACTTCAAAAGATTAGGATAACTGGTTTTTATATTTATAAAATAAATCATTTTCTATTGAGTTATAGAGAAGATCAAACTGAGAATATTAATTAAGCATTACTCACTTGTTGAGGACTTTAAAATTCTTGAATAATTATGCCACAATTCATTGAAGTGCCTCTTAACCAATTTCCCTCTGACACTCTCGTGGTACTTCAACTTCAAATAGCTTCTTAGAGCTATCATATAAATCAGCCTGATGTAGATTTATGCATTATGCAGGACTCTGAGCTTCTAGTTTCCAAAACTAAAGGATAACACTTTCCTGATTATTAATAAGTTTAGAATATATTAATATCCTCACTTAATTTTCATTATCTTTTGTACAAAATGCCAGTTAATATTTTGCCCATTTTTGCTGGGGTTTATTTACATTTTCTTATTGACTTGTAGAAACAACTTAAGTTATCTATGTTGTGAAGATTTCCTCTGTCTGTGATTTTCTTTTGCTTTATTTATGATATATTTTAGTAAAGAGGTTCTTAATTTTACAATTAAATGTATTATTTCATCCTTTAAGTATTTTATAACTTGTTTAAGATATCTTTTCATACTGCATTTATAAAAAAAATTTTCCTTTTTGTCTTCTACAATTTTAGTTTTTCCTTTGAGGCTTGTTTAACGATGTAAAATTGATTTTGTGTGTGTGTGTAAGGCTGAAATAGGTAACTAATTTTATTCTTTAAAATAAAGAAGATTATTTTTGTCAATATTGATTTTATTGTGAATCCAGTCATTTCCTAGATATCAGATATGCTTATCTATCATAACCAAGTTTCCATCTATGCTTTCAGCTATTTCTGGCTCCTATATATAATTGATCAATTTTACCTGCCTATTTCAATACCTCATTTCACTAATTTGTACACTTCATATTATGTTTTTATATCTGATAACAGTAGTTTTCTTTTTTTCTTTTTTGACGTTCTTTGGCTATTGTTGGTACAATGATCTTTCATATAAATTTTAGGATAAGCTTGTCAAATTGTATAAAAAAATACACTGGGATTTTGAACAGAGCTGCATTAATTAGTTTTTTAATATGTAGATGAGTTTAATCTCTTTCAAAATTTTTTAGATTCTGTTGACTATTATACTATTAGCACAAGAAAACTCCAGCAGTATAGCAAATACTAAAACCTATTTCAAGGAGGAAACTGAGTAGCAAGCAGTGGGAAAGTTGAGCAAATTGATGACTGTAGTAATGTTATTAGTTCTGTGACATATGTAGTTGTGTGTACATGCATATAGATAAATATATGTAGATCAACTAATACATATACTGTCTGCCTATTTGTATTTAATTTTCTGTTAATTGCTGTTCATGTGCTTTTTTCAAGTTTTCCCTTCTTCTTAACATATTTCTAAAGATATTAATAGTAATCTCATCTTCCAAGTAACTGCAAATTTTATTTTCGACTTGTATTTGTCATTTAACTTATTTATAGTTTTTTTATACAAAAATTTGCATGTAACCAGATCAGTTATATTATCATTTCTGGGATTTTTATATAGTTTAAAAATATTTTCCTCTCTTCAAGACTTTTTAAATGTTTAATATACAATGGATAGTATATTTATCATATATAAAGTTTTTATGTGTGGTTTTATCTAAAATATAAGGTTTGTTTAATGGAATGAGGCAGATATGATAGTTTGTCTTCTCCAAAGACTGACTCAAATTATCACAATATCATTCACTTACTTGTCCATCTTCATTGATTTGAAATACATATTTTATAATGAGCTAAATTATCATATATGTAGATTTTTCTCCAATACATCTCTATTGAAATCAGTTATTAAAATTATACTTTATTTTACTATATTTCATTTTTGAATAATGATATTCTTGTGCTAAATTATGTCTATTTTTAAATATTGTATATATTATATGCCTTAATTTCACATCATAACCTTAATTATTATGTTTTCTTCTCTTCATTGTAGCATTTCTAATATATCTAAAGTAAATTTTCTTTTTTTTCATGCTCTACCATTCCCTCAAATATTTATTTACTCTTCATTGTCCTTTTTATTTGTAAGTGATGGACAAGGCTGATCACTGGTTGTTAGTATACATTTTTTGTTTTGATTTTTGTTTCTTTATTTAGCAGCTGTCAAAGTCTGCTTTCATCAAAGGCTTTCTCATGTAAATAGAATATTTAACTGGTACTCTTTGTAAATAAGAGATGGCGTGTTCAAGGCAAGAAAGTTGGTGCCTCTACTTTTTTACAAATAAGCTTATATTTGAGTTCAATAATTTATATTGATTATTACCTGCTTATTCTCAAATACTGGAAATTTGTCATGAGTTCCATAAAGAAGCCTTTAATGTATCCTGAAATATGTTCCATTTGTCTATTTCTGAGCATTTTCCTTTGGTCTGTTTTCATTATCAGTCTAATCTGGTCAATTTCTATTTCTGGAAATTCATCTAAAATTTCTGTTCCACTGATTTTCTTATTTTATGTTTTTTTCACAAATTATACATATATATTTTCACAAAAAAAGTATATATACCCATGTGCTGCACATGTTTGACCAATGATGGACCACATATGTGATGGTGGTACCATAAGATTATAATACTATATTTTTGCTGTACCTTTTCTATGTTTAGATACACAAATACTAATCATTGTGTTACAATTGTCTACAGTATTCAGTAGCCTAAGACCAATAGGCTATACCATATAGCCTAGCTATGTGTCATCTATGTTTGTGTAAGCATCCTCTACAATGTTTGTACAACTCTGAAATTGCCTAACAATGTATTCCTCAGAACGAATTCCAATTGTTGTGTCACATGACTGTACATACATAAATATAAATATATTCAGCTTTTAGAAGGATACAGGAACTGAAGAGAAGCAATCATGTATGCCAAATCAAATGTCTTGAATTAGAGATCTACTATGCAGATCATAACTTTCTGACTATGCATTTTTGGTCATTTATGCTTCTTGTAGTCCATTATACTATTAGGATATGTCTGTAGAACATGACCCCTGACAAGGACGTTACAGTCAAAAAAAGGTTATTAGGGAAAATTAAGTCTTTTTGAATTCACATAAAATTCTGTGTTTCTTACTCTGGTAATGCATTATTAAATTCAATGGATGTTTTGCACTTCTGATTGTGTGGGAAGTCTTTGGGAATAAGTAGCATTTGAACTGGCCCTTAATGAAAGGTTGAGATTTAGAATCACAGAGATAAAAGACGAAGACAATTAGATAGTGGTAATCATAAGTAAATGGAATAGGTAGGAGACGTATATACCTGTTTTATCAGTGATTTTAAGTTTAAGTAAGGTTGACCAACTGTTTTTTAGAATGTTTGGAATTTGATTTTTATTGAGATCTCTTATTTTAACAGTTTGAAACTTCTTTCGAAGAATGGTAAGAAACTTTCATATTTCTTTTATTGTTTTATTTTTAATATTAAAACTTTGGTCATCTGCTATAGCACAGTTTTACTTCTAAAGGAATGGAAAAGTAAAAGCAGAATTTTCACATTGGTTATGAAAATATATTTATCAAAATGTAGGAATTAGGCCATCCCTGGAAATGGTAGAACAGAAATCTCTGGAATAGAATAGGGATGGGGCTCCATCCCTCCAAATAATCAACTACAAAGTCGGCAAAAAATTGGTGTAAATTAACTTTTGCAAAAATCTGGAATCTAGTTAAAAAATCGACAACCACCAGGGGAAAACTTAATGAAGAAAAAAAGCTGCTGCATTGCATTAAGAGAGCACTGTGACATTTCAATTACCTATTCAATATTCTCCAACTTTCCGATTGGTGGTAGCTATGAAGAGAGCAGTGCATACCTGGAGTACAGATTGCTAGTTCCAGAAGGGACAATAGGGACCTGATTCTCAAAGAATTGTCTTTGAGTATTTTGACCTGTCAGACAGCCCCCTGAAGGATCAACCAAAAGACTTGCCTTTCCTTTGCCAGACTTGAAGCAATCACACTATTGGTGTTGCTTTCAGGAAGTGTTTTCTAAAATCATTTAGAGGTATATACTTGCTACAGCAGCCTGGGACTATGGATGACAGCTGGAATAAGTTTTAGGCCAAAATGTCTGGGAAGTAAGAGGTTGAGAAAAGATATAGATAATGAGTTAGTAGGGTTTTTCAAAGCTCTCAATGAACTGGAAGATAGAACAGACCACAAATATGATGAAGGCTGGAAATATGCCCAGAAAAGACCTGAGAAAACTCTAATCTTTTAACTCTGGTTGACCTTTAGGATCTGCACCGGGAAAAGTTGAAGGTAGAAGAAGTGTTGTAAACAGCCTGAATAATCATGGAAGGAGTATCCTAGCACAGACTCAATGTACTAGGATTGAGAGAGTTTTTTCTTTTTCTTTTCCATTTACTTTTTTTTTTTGGCTCCAGGCATTTAGGGTAACTCATGCAAAACACTAGTTCACTAGTTATCTAAAGGAATAGATTTTAATGGCCATACATGACAAGAAATACAAACATTACAAAAACATGTTTAGAAGAATCACTAAACAAATAAACAACAACCCACAACAAACAGCAACAACAAATTCAATGGTGGGAGAGTAGTGTGATTTCCATTTCACATTAAATATTCAAAACGTCCAGTTTTCAAAAAAAAAGTATGAAACATACAAAAAAAAAAGAAACTTTGGCATATTTACAGTGAAAAGGAAGAAATTAATATACATTTTCCCTGAGGAAGTCCAATATTTGGACTTATGGCTTTAAATCAACTGTTTTAAATATCTTTAAAGAGATAATGGAAACCAGAGGAACGACATCTCAACAAACATAAAATATCAATAAAGAGAAAAATTATAAAAATTAACCAAGTAAAATTTTGGAGTTGAAAAGTAAAATAACTAAAATTTAAAACTTCACTAAAAGGGGTCATCAGCAGATTTAAGCAGGCAAAAAAAATGATCAGTTAACTTGAAAATATACCAATAGAGATTATCCAATATAGAAGCAGAAAGACAAGACAATGAATAAAATTAAACAGTGTCTAATAAACCTTAAGAGCAGCATTAAGCACAATAAAAGTCAAAGAGTAAGAGGAGAACACATTGTTCAAGAAGAGACAATGGGGATCTTATACTCAAAGAATTGTCTGAGTATTTTGACCTGTCTGACAGCCCCCTGAACAATCAGCAAAAAGACTTGCCTTTCTTTTGCCTGACTTGGAGCAATCACACTGTTGGGATTGCTTTCAGGAAGTATTTTCTAAAATAATTTAGAGGCATATACTTGCCACAGCAACACATTCTGTTTTCAGCCAACACATTGGCTGGAAAATTCCCCAATTTGATGAAAATCATGAATCTACACAGTCTTTAAACTCAGTGACTCCAAGTAGTATACAGTCAAAAGATCAATATCCATATACATTTAAGTCAACTTATCAAAAGCCTGGGACAAAAGAATTTTGAAAGCAAAAGAGAAGCAACTTGTCTTGTTCAAGGGAGCCTCAATAAGAGTAACAGTCAATTTCTCATCAGAAACTGTGGAAGCCAGAAGACAGTGGGATGACATAATTAAATAAAGGAAGAAAGAATAAGGACACTGTCCATAAAAAATTTCGGATCCTACATAGTATCCTTCAAAAATGAAGGAGAAGTTAAGATAGTTACATATAAACAAAAACTGAGGGGAAAGTACATCACTAATAGATCTCTCTTATAAGAAATCTTAAAGGCCATCTTTTAGGCTGAAATGAAAGAACACTAGATAGTAAGCTGAAGCCATGTGACAAAATAAGGAAAATAGTAAAAGTAACTACAAAGATAAATGTAAAATTCAGTGTAATTAGACTTTTGTCATGTAACTCTTATTTTCCTATACGGTTAAAAAGACAAATAAATGAAACTATAATTACAAATAATTGTTAATGAGCACACAATGTATAAACATTTACGAAAATAACAACATAAAGGGAAGAGAAGAAATGTAAAGGAGCAGTTTTATTAATAATGTTAAACTATCTCAATTTAAAGTTAATTTTTTATAAATTTAAGATGTTAATTTTAATCCCAAGGTTAACCACTAGAAATATTTTTTAATACTGCAAAATAAATAAGAAGTAAACTAAAACAATATACTAGAAAAAATCAACTAATTACAAAAGAAGGTGGTTGTGAAGGAGTTGAGAAACAAAAGAATATATAAATAATATAGATAATAAATAGAAAAATGACAAAAAACAAGTACTAACTTGTCAGTCATTATATAAAAAGAATTAAACTATATAATTGAAAGGTAGAGTTTGGTAGAATAGATAAAAATACATCATCCAACTTTATGCTATCTATAAGAGACTACTGAGATTTAAATGTGCAAGTAGGTTAAAAGTGAAAGGATTTTAAAAATATATTTCCACAAATAGTAACCACAAGAGAGCTGAGGTGACTATATCAATATCACACAAAGCAGACTTTAAATCAAAAACTATTATAGGAGACAAAGAAGATTTGATATATTGATAAATTTTCACTCCATCAAAAACTAATAAAATATGTACACATCTAATAACATAACTTGAAAACATATGAATTAGAAACTAACAGAATTAAAGAGAGAAATAGGTAGTTCTACAATAAGAATTTGAGAATTCAATGCTTTCAATAGTGGATCAAAGAACTAAACAGAAGATCAGTAAGGAAATAAACTTGAACAACATTAGAATCAACTAGACCTAACCAACTAATATAAGACACTCCACCTCACAACGGCATGAAATGTACTTCAGGATAGATTATATATCAGACCACAAAACAATCCTTAAAGAAATTTAAAATATAGAAATTATACAAGGCACTTTTTCTGATCCAACAGTATAAAAGAAGAAATTAATAACAGATTGGACCCTAGAAATTTTATATATGATTGTAAATTAAACAAAACAATAGGTTTGCAAATCAGTGGGTCTAACCAGTAATCACAAGGGAAATTAGAAAATACTTTGAAATAAATACAAATAAAAACACAGTGTACTAGAATTTATAAGGTATAGCATAATTAGTACTTGGAGGAAAATTTACATCTATAAATACTTACATTATTAAAGAAGATCCCAAAAGCAAAATCTAACTCTATACCTTCAGAAACTAGAAAATGAGGAGTAAGCTAAAGAGTAAGCTTCCAACATTAGCATAAGGAAGAAAATAAAAAGATTAGAGATTAATGACATAGAAAGTAGAAAAACAATAACTTCAATTTTTTACAAAAGTTGCTTCTTTGAAAATATCAACCAAACTCACAAACTTTTAGCTAATCTGACAAGGAAAAAAAAGAGAAAAAAGTGAAATTGCTAAAATCATAAAAACTGGGAACATTGCAAGATAATTTACAGAAATAAGAAAGCTTATGAAGAATCTATGAAGAAATGTATACAAAGAAATTAATAGCAAAAATAAAATTGATTAATTTCTGAAATATACAATCTACCAAAATTGACTCAGGAAGAAGTAGAAAATCTGAACAGATCTATAACAAATACAGAGATTGAAACAGTAATCAAAACTTTCTCAAAGAAACGCCTATGACCAGATGACTTCACTGATAAATTCTAGTAAACATTGAAAGTAGAATTATTAAAATCGATACTTCTTACACCTTTCGAATAAGAGGAGAGAAGGAAACACTCCCTAACACACTCTATAAAGTCAGTATTAACCTGATACAAAAATCCAATAAAGACACCACAAGAAAACTGTAGATCAATATCTTTATGAATATGTATATACCAAAATTGTCAACAAAACGCGACCAGATGCAACATAATGATCAAGTGAGATTTAACCTAAGAATGCAAGGGTGGTTTAACACATAAAAGCCAATTAATATAATATCCCATATTAATAAAATGAAGAGGAAAAACCAACTAGTGGAAAAAGACATGACTCATGCTAATATCTTTCATAAGACTAGGTTATAATAGAACTTCCTAATCACAATAAAGGACATTTATGAAAAACTTTTAGCTAACATTATATTTAGTGGTGAAGACTGAACGTTTCCATCTTAAAATCAGCTGGTCTTAAAACTTTTATTCATCTTTGGAACTCTGTACATTACTTGTGTGAATATAAAATGGTTAGACACAGTTTGTTCCTCAAAAAGTGAAACCTAGAATTACCATAGGACATGGCAACTTCACTCTAAGATGTATAACCAAGAGTATTCCAAACAGATATTTAAATGAAAGCTTGTACATATGTGGTTATAACATCAGTATCCACAATAGCCAAAAGATGGAAACAACTTCCAAATTCATCAGTGGATTAATAAATAAAATGTATTATATTTATATTATGGAATATTCCACCATAAGAGGAATGAAGTTCTTCTGCATACTACAACATGGATAACTCTCAAAACTCGTACACTAAGTTAAAGAAGGTAGACATAAATAGCCACTTATGATTTCATTTTCAATATCCATAATAGTTACATCCACAGAGATTAGTCATTGCTAGCAACTACGGGGTTGGTGAAATGAGAGAAACTGCTTAATAAGCAGGGAGTGTTTTTTGAGGGTGATGAAATGTGTTGGAACTAAATGACATGATGGCTGTACAATACTCTGAATGTACTAAATACCACTAATGTCTGCACCTTCAAATGATAATTTAATGTTATGTGACTTTTGTCTCAATTTAAAAAACAGAAGAATTAACATAAAACTTTGCTAGTCCAAGAATCAACTGAACTTTAGAAGACAATAACAAAAACACATCTAATTATATATTATAACTTACTAGGTCATGTAATTGGCATTTTAAAAAAACCTTCAGGGAAAACATTATTTATTATTTTAAGCTGAGATCATTATTTTTCAATATTTTAAAGCAAGCAAACAAAAAAAATCACACTTTTCAATAAAAACATTTCAAAATAAAAATTGAAACTAATGAAAGAAAATATACTGAGTAGTTCCCTGACCTTGAAATAAATAAGCTTTCCTAAATAAACTGTGGAACAACAAGAAGACCAAAAACATGCAGCTATTAGAAATATTATATGGTAGTAAAATACACTGGAAGCAATGCCATGTAAGTAAAGCAGGATGTAAAATTTAATGATTGCAATTTTATAAAAATTGAACTATATCTAAAGAGAATGAGTGATTATAGATTACTTTATATCATTTTTATGATTTTTATATGTATATTGCTTTCTTAAATTAATTGGTAATACTTCTTTAATAACAAAAAAGTTAACAATTTAATGAAAAATTCACATGGAAACTACCTGCTTTGTTGTTAACTGTTTTTTTATAACTTTAATATGAAGAAAAATACTTCAAAAAATATAATAAAAGCTAGTATGAAATTCTAGAATTGGACCTAATAAATACTAATAATGAGAAATAGTTTGTTATTCAATATAAAAAGCTTTAGCCAGAAAGAGAGTTTAGAAAGGAAATAACATTTTAATTTATGTATTTTTCTAGAAGCTTATTAACTTTATATCTGAAATGATATTTTTACTCCGTGTAATTTACAGAAACTGCTAAACTGAAATTAGAGAAATAGCTCATCCAAATTATTCTCAACAAACACCTTTTTTCTTATAGAAACATTTTCTAGGAAAAACCAATTTCTTTAAAAAATATTACCACTTTAATATCCTTTCAAGAAATATCAGGTCATTTGTAACTAATTTTAAGTTTTATCAACTTACCATTAAATTGAAACCTATTACCTATTAGAATTTTGCTATATTAATCTTCTAATAGTATTACCATGTATAGTTTCACCACAAATATTTAAATGTATAGTTTCACCACAAATATTTAACATTCAATGGAAGAGAATCACCTAAAATTTCTTACTAACTTGAAGCACAGCCCTTCTTTATTGTTTCTTTCCCATAACATAGGAGGAGAACTTCTTCCACAAAAGACCTGAAAGAAGATTGGAGTGTTACTATTTCAGAGAAAGAGGTCAAACCAGAAGAGAGAGGTAAAATTATTTCTCAGATTTAGATAAATGTAATTAAAAGTTTAAAAGCTCATTGACTTTTCATTTAGTATATTTCTAATTGTCACAACAATCATGTTAAGAGTTTTAGAATTCTTATGAGTGTTTAATATATAAAAGAATCCTCTTTTTTTATTAAACATTCATTCAACAAATATTTCTTAATGAATATTATATACCAAATACTGGTCTAGGTGTTGAGAATGTAATGATGACTCTCTGCCTCTCAAGATATTAACAATAGTTGTGTTGTTCAGTAGAACTTTCTGTGATAATCGGTGTTTTGTTTCTATACCGTTGAACAGAGTAGTTTCTAGCTACATACATAAGTTGAACACTTGAAATGTGGCTAGTGAGACTGAGGAACTTAATTTTTAAGTTTAATTTTAATTTACCTACACATATGTGTAAATAGTTACATGTGGACCATGGATACCATATTGGACATTGCAGCCCTTATATATATTTAAGTTGTGATTAATATTCTTGTCACGATTTATAAAATGTACTATGTTTTATATACTGCTATAAAATTTGTGTTAATGTTAATGTATTTGAATATACGCTTGATCTTTATTAAACACCTCTTTCCCCAACCACAAAGATTTGCTGAAAATCTTTAGTGCACGATAACTAATAAACTCAGAACTTTTGAAAGAATATTTTGTTCTTCAAAGATTTCATTACCCATAGTAATACGTTTGTTAACATTAAGCTATATCATTCCAAAACTATGAACCAGGAATCACAAATATCTTTCATTAAAGGGGTTAATTTGTATTGGAACTGAATAAGTAGAACTTGGAAATTCCAATGAATTCCTGGCAAGGATAAGTAAAGAAATTCTTATCGGATAAGACTGAAGAATGTAAAGTGTCTTGTTTCTAGGAACTATCTGTGGATTTTCGGGTTTTTTTTTTTCTTTTTTTTCTTTTTTTTTTGAGTTGGAGTCTCATTCCGTCACCCAGACTGGAGTGCAGTGGCCACTCCTGGTCACTGCAGCCTCGATCTGCTGGGATCCGGCGATCCTTCCGCCTCAGCCTTCCGAGTAGCTGGAACTACAGGCGCGTGCTA